GATTGTTTAAACTTTTTGTAATTGTCAATTGTGAAAAATCTTTCCATTCGAGCATCTGAGAAAGAACGACAAATCGTCATATTAGCATTTCTTTCTGCTATAGTCCCATTTTTCTCAGATGTACTTCACATTTTCAGATACTATATTTCCATGAAAGAAGTTTGTTGGTATCAATTCTTTACATTTATCTTACCTTAGTGAACGATGACAAGACACAATAGCGATTCTTTCGAAATGATTAACTTTTGGATGTAAATATTGTGTAAATAGTTACAGATTATATTGTTCAGTTAGAACAAATGATATGTGAGGGCTTTTTTTATGTTGCACCCTCGCATTTGAATATATGGATATGTGTGTACAAATTATAGGATTTCATGAACTTAGAAGGAAAGAAGAATGAATTTAAAGTAAATATGAAAATGGACTTTTTTATTGTACAACAACAAAAATAAAATGCTTTTTCTCTGGCACTCTTTTGTATGTTTTCTTTTGTTTTTAGCAATTGGTTTTAAAATTGTGATAACAAGTGAACATGTAGTATACATAGAAAGAGAAGAAGCAAAAAGCAGCAAGGGAGAAAAAATGAATATTCATCTAAAGCTTAATGTAAGACAAGACCATAGTAGAAGAAGAATAGAAAAAGCAGTTAAAAAGCAATGATAGTTATCGGTCGTAATTTACAATTAGAGATGATAATTATGATCAGATCTTAAAAATATTTCGTGTCTCTTACTCAATTCTCATGGCGATAGATGAATCCGACTGTTTTCTATCAGATATTGATAAAATTTCTTCAAAAATTCGGTTAATAAATGTCAATGCACCAGTGAGCACAAAATCGATATCTATATGTCTCGATAGATTTGATAGGATATCGTAACTAACGCGATATGGTAAAGTGTTACATCCCTAGTGAATGTACTTGGTACAAATACTTGATTGCTTGATGAGCACTTGGCAAGTACTTGAGTAAGGATTTGCTAAGTGTCGTTTCCTGACTTGCTTCAGCGAAGTATTTGGACAAGTCAGTCCATCTTTCCTTTTGCATTGACCAGTTGTATATAAACACCGCAATATCAATCATCATACACTTATAAAATAAGCTTATACATTTCTATTGAGTTGAACAAACTTAATAACCGTGCATGTATTTGCTCTACAAAAGTAGAGTATAGCTCCAGAATATGTATAATAAAATACAAAATAAAAATAAATAGAACAAATACTTGACTGAAGTTTTTCGAGTGAATTTACTTGCATTGTGTCGACCAAGTACGTACATTTTAGTTGTCAAGTACTTTCTCAAGCACTTGACAAGTAAATTTACTTGGAAAAGTCCACAAATATTGTCCTCATTACTTAAGTACTTGGCTCAAGTACATTCACTAGGAGTCGTATCGGTTAAAAATCGACGTTTTTCTTCTATTGTGATTGCTCGATAAGAGCCACTATTGAACTATCCCGCGGAACCAGTTATGATTGATATATCTTTATCATTGAGTTATTGTAAAAACCATAAGTTCTAGATAACTGAAGCTGTTCCCATGGTGTCATGGATGCCATGCTACACGAGACGTTGATATTGTGCCTTAGTAAAAGTACATCGAAAAAGTAAAGAAAAACTTGGAAAGCTTTCAAAGTTATTTTCTAAAGTAAAATTCCTAATGAACGATCAGATGACTTGATTAGAGCTCTGACCAAGACACCTGTAACCTACACTCAAGATACATTTTCTGTAATAAGCAAGAGCAGCATATTCAATATTTTTATACGTCTCGTATTACTAATCAAATCTGGTCTGTTTACATCGACATGTATTCAAAATTCTCACGCTAAAATATTCATGAATATTTAACTCTATAAAAGCTAGTTTTTGTCACCCCTACTATACTCAATTCCTCCAGATTATTCTCAACACATCAAATATACGCCAAAAACGCTTAAGCACAGTGGGCAAATTTGGCTAGACCCGTGGATTTCTTGAAAAGTACTACGAAAGTCTCTAAACGCTCTTTTGTATAGGTTTTTGCATGTGCTCTTGTCAATGGCATGGTTTTCAAACTTTCAAAGTATGTCGGTAGGATTTGAAAAACCAGTACGAGCATACTTTGAAAGCTTGAAAGCCATGCCATTGAAAAGAGCACATGCAAAATCTATACAAAAGAGCGTTTAGAGACTTCCGTACCACTTTTCTAGCACATATCCACCTGCCGAGTCAAAATTGCGGTGTACATAAGCAGTTACGCTAAAACAGTCGTCTTACACTGGATCGAAACATTTTTTGTTCAGAAATACTTCATATGCACATCATTCAATGCACTTTCAAATATTACATTATGTTTTAATAAAAGTGTTTCTGAATCAAGAAAAGTAGATTTTATCTAGAAAACCAAGGTTTTTTGAAAATCCCATGGTCCAGTCCCGAATCGTTCGAGCTATTTTGGGCTAACATCATATGTGTACTATTAGGAGATGGACACTTTGAACAAATTTCATCGAATTTGGAGGTTGCAAAAAAAAATGGAAAGCTCATTATACTGCACACGTTTCTTCGGAAAACGTTTAGGGTAGATAAAAAGATTATTTTCTCTGCCGAAGTATCCAAACAAAAAAACATTTTTATGGATCGAGTGGCCTACTTTTAGAACACGTATGGTTTTTGCAGAAAATATTTTCTGGTTTCGAAAATAAAGCCTTCTAATCTCACACCACTAAGTTTTTCGGTAAAAGGTTCCACCAAGATAGCTATGCATGTTTCAATCACCATTTTGTTTTACATGTCCATATACTACATATACATCTCTCATTCTTGAAAAATAACAAAGTTTTTCGCTAAAATGCAAGAGACTCTCTTAACATACACAAGATTGAATCGTCTGCTACACAAAAGTACCATGTTGATCACTCGCAGATAGCCTATTCAAAAATAATTAATTGAAAATCGCTTCAAATATGTGAAAATATGCTATTTGGGTATACCCTAAGTAAATACTTTTAGGGAGTTCCCAGTTACTGAGAATATCTCATCAGAGTACCCGCAAGGTACCTTAACGTACTCAAGTACCTAAATGTACCTAAGACATAATAGTGACAGGGTACTTTTTTGGGTACTTGACGCTCAGCAGTCCCACTAGGGTAGTGATATCTAGCCTGTTGACAGAAATACAATATTCTCTTTACAACATTACTACCCAACGATTTATCACCAACAACTCATTTTAATGCCGGACGTTCAATACATATCACCGATATCGAAGAGACCAATTTAGTCCATGTTGTATAACATACAAGTTCGTTATATTTGCTGTATAGACTCTATTTGCCGATGAACTACATAGAAAGACATTAATTATAAGTGTTATTCTCCTTCTTTCACAAATGCTGCATCTGTTCCTAATTCATCGTCAGCTTCATGTAATTATTCACTTTTTTATTCACATTTATCCATTGCAATTTCTTCAAGATTTTGATGAAAAAGTTCGACAAACAGTGGCTCCTGACACATTCTTTTTATTCAAAAAGATCATAGTTAGAAAAAGCACATAAAACTTCATATAAAGACTACCAAAAACGTTTCATATTAGAGCATCGCTTTGGGAAATTTCTGTAATGTTTTGCGTTTAATGGTGCAACAGTTTTTGAAAATCGAGCTTATCATCGGTAAACTAAAACAAACAAAGCTTTTGTTCGAAATTTAAGGCAGTAATCATTTTCAGCATAGGCGATTGCCTATAAATAGACATTTTTCGCATGATTTTTTAAAAAAATATTTTCAAATTTATTAAGGAAACCTCAGACACTAAAACTATAAGATTACAAATCCCCAAAACTAAGACAATAGAAATGTTAAAAACGACGATTTATATCAAAGGTCAGCACGGGTCGGGCTAATGAATGTTAAGAGTAGTCGATTTAGTCTCGAGTCAAAAAGTATTTTCATAGAGACTGGATTGAAAATTTTTCTTGGATAACATAACAGAAGAAGCAGTCTAATCGAGTTAGTAACACTTTATAAAGCACCGAACCAGAGAAAGTTTAGGAATGGTTGGACCAAATTGAGCTCGAGCCGAAAGCTTTCGTCATCGAGGCGGATCTCTGATTTACATACGGGGACGTGAAAACAACCCAAAAAAAGTGGGTAAACATTTTAATAAAAGCCTGCATTCTTTGATGATTTTTGAACACAAAAATGCCTGGACACAAGTTGTAATCGTCGATAATGCTGAACCTATCAAAATAACTGGTGGTTTTTTCAACAATTTTGTTATCGATTGTAAGTATTCAATGACGAGCAAATAAATTAATGACTGAATTCATGTAGAAGTCTGTTCTAATAAAACTTAAATAACCTTGAAGGGTTTAAAGTGAACTATAACTATATTCGATTAATGTGGTCCCTTTTACATAAAATGGTACAGACACATTCAAGGGTCATTATTGGATAGGCCAGTCTTGGTTTGATCAACACGAATGAATAGAAGCAGACCCGTCTTTGACATAGTTAAAAATTCGAAAAACATATATATTATTTAACCAATTTTGCATATTTCAATTGCAGAAAACAGCAGTACTAAAACTTGTATTATTCCATACCTCTGCTGAATATAAAAAGTTCAAAACGTATTTTATGCTTTCATTTCCTATAATTTTGTTCATTTTCACAAAAATAAATAAATTAACGAACACCGAAAACAAGAAAAATAAGAGAGAATAAGGAATTAAATCCAACCTACACAAACACACACACACAACAAAAATACAACAAAAAGAGGATAAAACAGAATAATTTTTTCATTATGACAAATATAGTGGCGTTTTTAAGAATAATTTTTTCAACGAAAAAAATAGCAAACAGTTAAGACAGAATTCTAGTAACGCTTTTTTCTTCTATATACAAAAAAGATTACATTAACAGCATGCGAGAAGAATACTAATATTAAGAGTTTCAAGCAAAATACATAAGAATACTTTCAGATACAGATAAAAAATAATACCCATCAAATTTGATAATCATCGGAATCAACAGAATCTTCGAGTACAGATTTTTGCCAATGTTTTAAACGTTGATCAAGAATAGTTTGCCATACAGTTTGGAAACATTTATTTGGATAACGAATTCGATATGGTGATTGAGGTTTTTGACGTAAAAATATTAAAGTATCACACACTAAAATAGTAAAACAAAAATGATAGATGGAAAAAAAAATACTATATATTTATCTAATTGAAATAACTTACGTTGTTCACTAGCACGAAAATCGATAATATCTGATAATAACAATGGTTCACAAATAACTTGAAGGCCATTGTCATCAACCGAATTTTTCGATGTAAATAATAACATATCATTCAACAATAAACACCATGTCTAGAGAAAATAAGAATAAAATAAATGTAGAAGTTGTATACAAGTATCAAATTTTTCGAGAGAATGATATGCACTTCTCCACTTACATCGATGTATGTCTTCGTTTCATTTTGTAATAATAGAACACCCGAAAAGATAACATGGCGATTTTTACCAATTAATGATATTGGCTAAAATAAAACAAAATATTTATTAATCAAATCGTATAAATGATAATAAAAGAATTTACTTTAATATTCGGAGGAAATTGTAATCTATTTTGTAATTCAACTATTTCAGCATCTTCTGGTTGTTGTTGTTGTTGTTGTTGTTTTGTTGGCATTGTCGATGATAATGAATTTGTGGCACTGTTCAATGTCATAGTTGTAGAAAACTGATTTACATTTGAATTTTCAATAACACGAGAAGCACATTGTCGTAGTTCTATAAATAAGAAAAATTGCTTTATAAACAATTTAATTTGATTATTTAGTGTCCACATACCTTTTAAAACATGTAGTAAATAATTAGCATCATTTGGATTTTGACAATTTGAACATAATGAATCTAAGTGTTTTGATAATGTTTCAATATGTTTTAATGGTATTTGTAAAAATTGTTCAAGTGTTAATTTATGTTCATTGTTAATATTTTGAATAAAACGTTGAAAACTCGAACATTTTTCTAATTGTTTTAATGTATACAAGGCTTCCACGTAACCATGTGAATATGTTTCAAATGCTTCACAAATAATTTGAACTTTTTCGTAAAATAATTTACCAACATGTTCAACAAGAGTAGAATTTGATATTAAACGAAGTTTATTTAATTGATAACGAGATATTGCCAATATCTAAAAATATAATACATTAAACTCATTTTCAACAAAACGTTCTTCAGTATAATATTTGACTCGAATTTCTTTTACATATCACGAAGTTCCTTTTTCTACAAAAAATGAATTAACAAAAAGTGTCTATTTTGTTACCTTTTCAATATTTTGAAATAACCTTGAATGTTCTTGTGAGGAAATAAGATAATGTTTCAATGGTCTCGCATATAATTGTACACCTAAATCTAATTGTGCTATAAACATTTCTTCTAATTCAATTAATTTTAATGCATCAAAACGATAGGATTCGGACAATACATTCTAAATAAAAATAAATACATTATCACTAACTGATAAAGAGTCTAGGCTATATAACACTTACTAATCGATTATTGTCATTTTCAATGTCTGAGTGTGGTGTACTTTCTGAACGATAACCAATATCTGAATCACCATCACCCGAATCATAATTATCAATCGGAGACATTAGTAATGAATTTTTTGTTGTTTCAGGTCGACGATGTTTAACGATATTTTTATTATAAATAGGTTGCTGAAGAATATACTGTTCACTTCTTGATGATGAAGAATTAGCCGACATTTTATCAGATGAGCAAAATGCATTATTATTTTCATCGGATGATTCCTCTTGATCAGTTTTAAATAAAAGTAATGATGTTTCAGGTAATAACTGATGTTGTTCAACAGAATTTAAAAGTACTTTATCCGGAATTGTTGTCAATACTAAATAACGACGATAAAATTCTAATCTAATGGGATATTGAAGATTTCTAGAGAGAGAGAAAACATAATTATTTAAAGATAAAAATTAAAAATGATAACATACTTCATAAGTTTCATAACAGCTTTCGGTTGAGCACGGGTCACATTTTTATCATTTATTTTCACTAATATATCACCCGGCTGTGGACGAGTAGAAGTTGAATGAAGAAATGATGAACGATGTTGAACAGAAACAACTGTACAAGGACAACCCAAGCCAAACTGAATTTCATCGCGATCATGTACATCGACCTTAAAAAGATCAATGAAATCATCAAATAGAAGAACACGTAAAAAGTACCGAGATAATCAAAGATTGATTTACACATGCTTGACGCTATTCAACAGAATCATTCTGATCGAACTAATTTAACAGTTTTCGTCGGCCTGAACGATATCTTTTTAAAAAAAACCTAATTTTACCTTTAATAGAAATCCATTTAAACTATTTCCATAATTCGTTGGCGGATATGTTTGATGATCATCATGTTCGCGTGATTGTTGACATTTAGTTCTCGACGAAGATGTCCACTGGTATTTGGCTATTTTAATATTTAATGCCATACGTTTGCGTTTGCCAATATTTTCCGGTAATAAACAATACCATTTACATTTTGATGACTAAAATTAATCCAAAAAATCTTTTTTGCAGAATTGTTTATTCTGAACAAAAAAAGTGTTGCGTTCTGTATGTTTTGACACATCGTACCACGCACCTTCGTCTCAGCCGAATAGTCCTCTCTTGTCTCTCACACATATACACAGATAGACAGAATTTAATAGAAGACACTAAAAGAACTTTTTTTTAATTAATGAGTGAATATTCATCATGTCATTATTCACACTCATTGAGGTAATATATTTAAACGCATTTTTGATAATGTGTCAATCAAAATAGATCACATTCATTTTCAATTGGTTGAGTATCAAAACACTGACTTTTTAAGTACGATCAGATTTGGCACAAATTAAAGAACAGGATTTGAAGGTTAGGAACGTTTCCTCAATACTTGAGCTGAGAGTTCATCTGAAATAACTCAGTAGTCTCCAAGTGGAAACTGTTTTTCGAGAGCAAGTATAGTACCCTTCGCCGAAACTATGAATAAATAGATATTCAGTTTCAGCAATGTGAAAGGAGGAACTGGAATTTTTTCAGATTTCTTCAACTATTTTACGAAATAATTATAAATATTCTTACCATCGTGCTTTTCGTGAATGTTCTCATATTGAATGACATACAACCAAATAGTTCAGCTCTAAAATTTAAAAAAGAACTTCATTTATTCCTGGTCAATTGTATTTACGAAGAGAAACGAACTAAACGAATCATGTGCAACATATCCTTTAGTTCTAGTCACTATGAATCATTTCTTTTTCTTCTTTTCTCGTACTATACAATAGACGAGAGAGAGAACTATCGAAACGTTATAATATAACAGATGGCAGACAGGACAAAGAAAAGATAGTCACTGTCCTAATCTAAAAATTAGATCTGAATATAGATCTCTAGACGGATATAAAGTCTCCTAGAATAAAAGATTTTTTTTTTTTATTCATCTTATTGTGGTTCCTTATCACGTAAAGACACGTATTCTCGTAAAGACACATGTCTAAAACTAGTGTTCAAGGCACTGAAGATTGTTCTGAGTCAAACACTTTCTTTTAGAATGTCAAGGGGTGCAAACGAATGTCAAAAAATTCGTGTTCGAATAAATCTATTAGCGAATAAAAATAGAACAGTAAAGATATCAGAAATCTAGATAGACTTCATTTTGTACGTCTACTAAACGTTTGCTGTTCATAGAATTACCACCTCAACACTAATTTCCCTTAAAAAAGAAAACACTTTATTTAATTAACGAAAAGCGGACATGTCCATCAAATGCAAATTCTAATAAACAAAGTTTTGATCGTGTTGAAGAAGACATAGGTTGAATTATCGATAAAGAAGAGAAGTAATTGCTGAGATACTTTAAAAAAATAAATCGATTGAAAAACGAGCGGAGAAGTTATCTGTTAATTTTTCCGAGTCGATCTCTGCACAGATACTACATTACCTTTGCTAACTAACGATTTCATACAGACTAATGAGATAACTAAATACATAAACATTTTATGGGAATTCTTCTTCACATGTGTTACTATAGAATAAGAGACGAAAAGTAACAGAAGATGTAGATGGATATCAATACACAATTACTATCACCTATTATCTCTCATATACACACATGAGAAACCCGAAATAGGTGATAAAAACAATCTTCTCTCTTTTTCGTTGAAAGCGATTTGTATAAGAGTAGCAAAATGAAGAAGATTTTGTATGTGAATATCTGTATAAGCCAACACTTTTTAATTGTTTTGTTTATGAGTGATATAATAAACTGTTATAATGTGCAGAATAAACATGCAAGAAGAAATCTCCGAAAAAAAGAAGCCTGAGGATATACAATAGAGCCATAGTAACTTACTTGGAATTCGATAATTGATTGTAAACAGAAATGGTCAATCGTTTCAATGAAGTATGTTTCGATAGTGGACTATAAAAAAAAGACAGTGATTGATACCTTAAAAAAAGATTTTCTAGAAAAAAAATACACCATTCTCTTGTTTGTCTAATCTGTTTCTCAGCCCATAACATCTTATAGTAGCTTTTTTATCGGAATTTCGAGAATAAGACTGAATACTTACATTTCAAATTTTTGATCATAAACTGGTGAATCTGATTTTTTTACAATTTTTGAATATTGTTCATATTTTGGTGTTGTCGGAGATGCTGGTATTGTCAACTAGAATAAATGTTAAAAGTGAAGATATGAGATTTATAATATTCTTATAATACTTACTTTTACAAATGTATCGTACAATATTTTTGTTGTTGATTCATTAGTATGGGGAGTACGTAACTGTCTGGCACGTATTACTAGAATATAAGATAAGTAAAATAAACATTATACATTTGTATGCCACGTGGTACTCTAAAGTTTATTTAAGCCTAATTAGAGTGTTTAATTAAATAGCGACCGATAAGATAATAAAATACAGAGTGTTGAACTTAATAAGTATAAGTTACCAAATTATGTTTCTCTCTCTCTTCCTCTTTCTTTTACCAATTTTTAGTAATGATCGATGGCAAGTCTTACTCTTCATTGTTATTAACATAAATTCACATAAAAGAAATATATACAGATATCCTGACTCAATTTATGTTCATCATAATATTCTATAGTTAATATGTTTAACTTAAAATCAAATATTACGTGTTGATTTTAATCCGAATGTTTTGTGTACAAGTCAAGCTGACAAGATTTGTTTCTATAATAAAAAGTAATATGTGTTATACCTGAAATGTTTTGTTTTAGGTGAAGTAATCGTGGCAAGTCAAAATAGTGAACTAATATTTTTACACGTTTCATCCGTGTGTATATACAGTCCGCTACACAAAACAGCTGGTTATTAACAATTAAACGATTGAAAGAAAAAAAGCATGAGTACGATAGGTCTATGATTTAATTATCAATTTGCATATACAATTGAAACAGCTTGACTTGTATTTCCTGCGTTCATTTCAAATAATTAATAGATGACCTAACAGCAATATCTTATCATTTTATTTTTTTATTTTTATATAAAATCATAATAGTTCATTTATAGTAGTGAGAACAGGCAATAATAAAAAAGAAATAGAAATCTGAGGTATATATTATCTGCTACGCACGCTCAAAGTTGGGAAGTTAGAGAGAAATATAGAAATATGGGCTGAGTAGAAAAGTTTTATGGAAAAGGTATTATAAATACTTTTTTCGTTGATTACATCATGAAGAGAATAGGAGATGCGATAAATTAAAGTTTCCTGGAAAAGTATTATAAACAAAAAAGACTTGTCTAATGCACTAGTTAGAAATCTGAATGATAGTGTTTTAAGTACAATCAGACAAATATTTTATTAATGAAAATCTGTTGTTATGTGTATATTCTCTCTAAGGATCATTTCGATTTGAAAAAATCATTTATTTTCTATACACATTGTGTTAAAACACCTTCAGCTTCCTATTATGTTATGTCTTACCGTGAAAAGTCAGAAGATCGTCTGTCGTTTGAAATGCGATGCATAATGATCCTAGAATAGAAAAGATTAACGTTTTTATATATATATATATATATATGTAAATAGTATGATTACATAATCAACTCTTGAATTAATATTATCTTTTTGGTGAGAATATATGAATAATATGGAAATTCGTTTCACTTCTCTCCATTATTTAATGAACTCATCATGTAGTGACATAACTTGGTACCATATGACACTCAGTAAAACTCAATATAGACCCCGAAGAGCAAAAAATTGAAGCACTTCCCTTGAGAAAGAAGTTTAAGTGCGAACTTACTCATAAAGAGAGAAAACTATTGAAAAATACTTCATATTACTGTACAGATCAACTTCGAATACAAGAGACGTTCTAGTAAATGCATCCGAACGAAGTATCACCTTCAAATTTCTTGTAGTTTCTGTTTTCTAATATTATCTTGAAGTCTTATGTCTAACAGGAAAAAAATTACGTATATCACTAAAAAATTTGTTCTACTATATGATCGATCATATTTACCTAATTTTTCTTTTATCTTTGGTTTTATTTCTTGTGTTATTGATAGCGGTGGATGTACATTTTCTTTATTAATGTTTTCTTCGTCTTGATCATCATCATTCGATTCTTTTAGACTTGTACTCGATTTTATTGGGGATGTACAAGGTAAACACCTTGGTAATTTTCGTCGTTTGACATAATCAACAAATTGTTCAGTGAACGTTCGTTTATTTGAATTTTTATCGGCACAACAAATGTTCATTATTGCATTATCATGCATGAATATTACAATTGAAGGATTATCCTGCACAATAGAAAGTAATATGTAAATACAAGATATAAGTTCTATTTACATGTCTTTTCTTTCATCACTAATAGAAGAAAAAAAAAACGTTCTCTTTTTTTGCATTCTCTTTTAAATTCTATTTGCTCGCACAAATAATTCTACCAATAAGAAATCGACTATCGATGCGTTTCACATATCGTATAACTAACTAATAAGTCATTAGAGAATTAATTAAACTAATTATAGTGATGTGTTATTCAATATCTTTCTTACCTTTATTCCTTTATTTCTATCGTGAATAATTTCATCGTTATTATTATATCCTAGAATGAGACGATGAAACAGCATGTCATTGTAATGAAAACTGATTATTATATGGATAAGTTTGCATCCATAGAAGATCAGCCACAGGCAGCTATAACATCAAGCCAGCAAGTAGCCTAACCTTTATGAATGTAACAAAAAGAAAGAGAGATCTAAATACAAGTAAACAATTTGAGGAAATTATTGTGAAATGATATCCAGCCAATAGTAGCTAATGTAAGACAACTAAAGCATGAATCAACTTCGTAGCAGTGATGGATCCAGAAAAACATTTTCGGTACTGACGGATTTGGACAAAAGAGGAAGTTTAGCAACTTTGCTTAGGAGTTTCTAGACGACACGATTTTTAGTTCTTTTCCTTTATTATTATGTTGCACAAGAAGGAGAGTATAACAGTGTGAAATCAAAAATTTCGGTGCTGGCGGCCGGCGGCACCCTAAATCCCCCACTACTTCGTAGTGCTTAAATTAAAGAACTCGAACTTTAAAAAAGGTATGATGTTACTTGCTATTTGATTCAAACAAGATACACATTGAATTTTGACTAACTTAAAAAACAACTGTGAATATCACAAGAAAAGAATATTATTTCAAATCAATCCTTTTTCCGAACTATTTTTATTTAAAAGTATATCTTACCAAGTAGAGTATGCCGTAATTTCTTAATAAAGTTCATTTTCAAATTGTGACTATTTCAAAACGTTGTAAGTTATGAACAACATATAATAGATATTTTAATCTCTATCTATATTCATCAGCCAATAGTCAGTATTACTGATTGTATTTTTTCTCTCTCTCTTTCGCACCATCATACCAGACGCGACACGATAATGATTGACACAGTTGGATACTAATCAGACGACAGTCAAAATGATTATTTCAGCACACACACACACAATAACATTGAAAAGTAAGATCATTGTGTGAGAAACTGGTGAAGTTATTAAATATAAACTGGGGCTTTGTATGCCATTTGAGAGTGAGCAGAAGGTTCTTCCTTTTGTGAAACATAATTTCCTTTTCTATTTTTTTTTTTGCTTTCACTTGTCAATCAGTATATGCGTGTAACTGTGTACTATACTTTGGATTATGTTACACAACGATTAAATCATTTAACAAGTTGAAATTAAAAATCTAATCGCTTGTCACATGATGCCATCGATGGAAAAAGGTAATGATGAGAGGCGCTGTCTATTTATTATATACCTCAGGAAATACCTACTTTTATTGAAAAGTTAATAATATTTTACACCCACCCACACTCAAAAAATGATCGATCATTTTTACAGTTCTAAGATTGTAAACAGTGCAACAGTTAGCTATTGCCATAAAAACCTATCAAATATTCAACATTCAATCTTCAATCAGTACAATATTTTTTATTCTAATACAAAATTTTTGTTTATTTTCAAATTCAGTAGTATTTTAGAGCGTTCTATATTATAGACAACATAGACCAGATATTTTAGTCTCTATAGTTAATATTAAACTCGTTTTTAATATATAATATGTTGGTGAGTTTCACAAAAAACTATGATCTTAATATATTTCATCTTTCTTTTTAATAAGTATGTCGTTGTGACTGTTTGCGTTTTTATTTTCTACTCTACTCCTCTGTTATTCTATCTATTAAAATAAACTACTCTTCAACAAAATCAGCTGTTTTTGGTTCTGTTTTTTTTCTATCTTAAGAATATGATCAGTTATTCTCAAGCGTAATTCTGTGTTTATTTTTCACTATGAAAAGAATAACATTTGTGCTTATTCAATACATAGAGACATATGTACAATAGTCTCTTATTTATTGCTCAACAAATTCTAGTATCTTATTAATTAATTACAAAAAAATAAAGACATAAATTTCAATTCATTTACTAAATAAATGTCTAGTTTCATTCTATCCATTTTGCTAAATAAAATAACTCAAAATTAGAATAATGAGCGTATTGTGTGTCTATTAGCAATAAGAAGTTGATGATAGATGTTTTTTTATATTGTTTAGTATCTAAGGAATGATATTAAACTATTGATATTTGTCCAAAATTTCATTAATGAAACAACAGACAAGTGTGAAAATAAACGAACATCCAAAACAATATTCTTTTTCGTGTTAACAGTGATCACTATCTATCGTTTTTTCTAAGAAAATCATCATTCTCTCTGTGCCCTGCAGAAATACATAAAAGTAACCAGTCAAAGCGATATGTTTGCATAGATATGTCTTGTCAAATGACACACTCATAATTCTTTTTTTTTGATGAATGTTAACGATATGCAGCATATATATATATTGTTTACTGATGAACTACTAACCAATATTTAGAACAATGATTAACACGTGTCAATATGCAACTATTCATTATCAGATAGGTAGCACACATACTATCGTGATATTTTCTTATATTTCATAATCACATTGAAACTGATCTTTGATATATGTAAAATTAGAATTAAAAAGAGCTGACTAATCTGATGAATGTTTGTTGAAAACTGACTCAAAATCAAAGTACAGAATGTTTAGAAAACTAATAACTAATAAACGATAAACTAAAAGATGACTTCATTCGCATTCCTTACATTAAACATCATTTTTGTATTGTTACTAAACTATATAATCAAATGAGTAAAATAATACTAATACTTACTATTGCACAAAAAACAGTTATCGATAATAGACTAATAGAAAAATATTTTCTTCGATTTAAAAATTAATGCATTCTAATACGGTAAGCTAATTCTACTTAGTCTGAGTTTTCTCTAAACATCTATTATTTCAACAACAATTTATACTAATTTTGTATTGTACATACAGCAATAACGATATGCTATACGTACTCAAAAACGTTTTCCTAATTGCTCTTGAAGATAATTTTTAACAAATAGTATATGAGAGTGCATAGTTAAAATGGTAGATCAATCAGTTGATTTATTTGAAAAAAATGCGCGACCGTATGGCGTCTCTTCTGTTTTTTTTTTTGTTATGAACACTCTAGTATCGCACTTAAAAAACAAAAAAGAGATAACTAACTCAATTGAACTTTAAAGTAAAACAGCACACCTGTCATTTGTAGTTTGTCAACATTGTCAACTTAGAACAACTGTTTCTCGCCTCTTAATACAATTATGTTCACCAGTTAACCATCGGTTTTTGTTTTTTGTTCAATGCGTCAATAGTAAAGCCTATTTGTTTAAAATATGATCTAAATATTAGAGCTACTTCATTATATTGTTCAAAAATATCAGACAATATTTTCCTTACTAAATTTTTTGATACCAGTTTTAGTTGAAAATAAATTCATTCAAATTATTTTTATCCGTTGCAACCTGTTTTGTTCTTTTTTACTTTATTTTTATTTATAAACGATATGGTCCATTACTTATAATTGTTGACAAAATCAGTGTTAGTGTATCTCTATTCATCATCAAATACAATTTCCGCTATTTTCATCATCACCTGCCTCTTCAGTTATCATTAACTTTTAGATAATGATTTCATTTAGGCGAGAAAAATATCGTTTAGTTATTTGTTATTATATTTGCTTGTAAATGATCTCGAACACAAGAACGGAACACATGAAAAAGCGGCTATTGTAAACACGGTATTGACAAGCTAGTCAAATATAAATAGTTAAGAAAAAAATCATATCTGTTTTTTCAAACATATCTTATTACTTAGCATTGATGAGAAAAAAAGATAATTCTTTATCTTTAGCACATTGTCTATCAGTAGACTGCCGATTAAAGTAAAATAATCAGATATTGTAGCAAAATTTATGTTTGAAAATGTCTTTTTCGAGAGATTATGGTAAGTTTCACTCTAGATAGTTTGGTTTCCTTGTTGATTTTTTGTGAAACTTAGTCTATTCTGAAGTTCCCGTTTTAATCCAAAAAACCATTGGATTTGATCAATTGCGATACGTAACTACTAGGGAGTTTTACAATTTAAGTTCTACTCTTATATTCGATCACACGTTCAAATATAACGTTATAATTCTGCAGAAAACTTGTAACTTTTGTTATCCTTTTAAAAAAAAAAGAGTCTTATCTCATGATATCTTTTCAAATCTTAGAGTTACCAGACAGATGTTTCTCATACAAAGACATTATGTTAGTATTGCGTTAAAAACCTCTATTTTGCTATTTAAATATTCGATATCATTGTTAGTATAACATAAATATTTTGATAACTAACCTATAGAATGTATTCCACTTAAGAAATGTTCAATAAAGTTTTGTTTTGTTATATATTTTTGAGTTGAACGACCATAAAGAGTTGATATTTCGTTTTTGCAAATCACCGTTGTTTTTGATGTTTTTAGTTTGTACAATTCTTGAATTTGTTCTAAAAAAAAAGGAAAGAAAGACTAACATACAATTAAGATAAAGATAAACGCGCGTTAAGCTGTATAAATGTCTGTGTGACTTATATATGAAATAGAAAGTAGAATAGGTGATGAGATTATCTAATTGTTCAGATTGAACAAATGAACACTATTCTCATGGCTAAAACGACGGTAACCGTTTTTCTTTTTTTCATCATTTTGAGTGTAATTTAAAAAAGCAATAAGCCGACACGATATACTCAACAAGGTTTGGACACGTACAAATCTCATCAATAATACTTCTTAAAAAGAGAAAAACAAAAGAATCTTCGCTAATTAAAGATTGATC